TTATACTTTTAAAAAATGTTTTTAAATACATTTTTATAGAAACAATACTTGTTTATAAAAGAATTTTAAAAATTTAAATTTTAGTTTTTTAGACTAAAAATACTTTTGTACTTAAAAATATTTTTTGTGTGTATAAAAATGTTAAAATATACTTAAGAAATAGTTTTGGATATCAGGATATGATTAGGTGAGAATTAGACCAAGGGATGGCAATTTTATCCGAATCCGACTTTTACCGACCCGACCGAAGCATATAATATCCGAATCCGACCGAAAAAATTAATATCCGAAACCGACCCGAAGATTTTAAAACTGAATCTGACTTTTGTCGGGTCGGTTTTCGGTAATTAAATTTGACCCACCCGACCCGTACCCGACCGACCCGATAATTAACCCAAAATAAAAGGCCTTTTTAAAATATTAGAAAAACCTTTTTCAATTGAATGTCCAAAGCTACATACAAGGTGATGGTGTAAATTACTTGACCGGTCAAACTATACTAGACCGGGTCTAGAATAGTTCGCTTGATTTGGCAAAGTAAGAAAGGTAAAAACACGCAAATTGACCGGTAGGACTTTAGGTGGAACACCTGTAGCCCGATTTATATTATAACAGAGAATGCACGGGTGCTTTTACAAGGGAGTTTTGAGAGAGTGAATTCGGATCCCCATTTCTGAGGTTTACAAGAGGTATATATACTGGGCTGAGGAGCAGGACCACGTGCGCCCACGTGGGAGCATGCTGTTGGCGTGGTGTGAAGTGACTGGCTCTGAGCTGCCTTGTCATCTTGCGCGGGGGGTGGCACCCTTGTCGCGTTCTGATTTGGAAATATTCCCTCAGCATCCCTGCAATTCCAAACACTACAGTCCAAGTCCTTTTGGATTCCTCTTGCCGACACTTCCCCATCTCTAGGAACTACACCGGTTGGTTCTTGCAGGCTGACGTGGCCATCTTTGTAGGGTGAATTAGCCGCCGGTATAGCTTGACCGGTATACTATCCCAAGCGTACCGGTCAACCTTCTGGTCAACTAGTCATCCCTTCGCCGACGATCTAGACCTCTCTTGCAAGTTTGACTTCTTTGACCGGTCAACTATCCGGTCTTGACCGTTGACCGGTCATGGGTGAAATACACCCATCATTAAGCCCTCCACTTCTCGGTTGTGCAATTTTGTCATAAGCAGGAAGTAAAAACTTAAAACTGGACCTTTAAATTTGAATTTTTGGCTTTTCCCGCTCGAAATTTTTGATTTTCAAAATCCAAAGTGTCGGTTATGACACGTGTTGCCCGCTGGACGGCGTCAGACCTGCGCCCTTTCGTCTTCCCAGGTGCAATGATGGTGCCGCCTGACGCGGCGCGCCCTGGTGAAGCCACGTCGCCTCCCTCTCTCTCTTCCTCGCCTATATAAAGGCTTCCATCCCCACTGCCTTCCTCACTTCTTCCTCGCGCGTTTCTCGAGTTTCACCGGTCAACTTCTCTCTCCTGCCCTCCAGCCCTCCGAGCCAAGTAAGCTCTCTTCCCTCTTCAGTTTTCATTCCGGGTCAATGTCTTCTTCTGATAGTCAAGGTATTTCTTCCTCGGATGCCTGCGCATCCGAGGAATCTTCAACCTCCTCTTCTTCGACCGGGTCCTCTTTATCCAGTTTCGAGACCCGGTCAGGCCCCAACACCACCGTCCCTGAACCGCAACCTGTTAACCAGATGCCTGGTCAGGTTTCTCAGGAGAGGGATGAACCGGTTGACGATGAGCTGGCTCCCTATGACCCTGACAGCGAGTCGTATGAGGGATGGGTGAACCGGCTGGATGCCGCCGGTTATTCTCCTCTCCCTTCCAGCTACCCGCTTGACATCTACCCCCGGGTCTCTAAGATTGCCCAGAACAAAGCCCGTAGGAATCTCCCGGAGGGGTATGTCCTTGAATACGACCCTAACTGGCGCAATATCATCGAGCCTCACCGGGACGATAGGGTAGGATTCCACATCATCTCCCTGGAGAGTGGCACCGTCTTCCCCCTCCGTCCCCTCCTTGTCGAATTGTGCCACTGTTTCAAAATTCATCCCGGGCAACTTACGCCCAATGCCCATCGTTTCCTCAACGCCTTTGTAAATATCTGCGTTGAACTTAAGATCGACCCTTCCCTTCGCCTGTTTCTCTTCTTGTTTGAAGTCCTTCCCGGTAAGTCGGGATGCGATGGTTATGTCTATTTCAAGGGCCGTAACGGCCGTCAATTTATCTCTGACCTTCCACAAAGCAACTGGCAGTGGAAGGAAAAATTTGTTTTTATAAAATTTCCTTCCATTTCCCCTCTGGCCGGCATAAAGTGGAACGATCACCTCCTGAAACCGCAATATACTGAGCCGGCCAGCGCTCCAGACTTGGAAGAAAGTTTGGAGAAACTTTTACAAGGGGACCTGTTCACCGGGCAAATGTTCCACTACGGGGCCTGGATTTGGAGGATTTCACCGGGTGGCACGGGTACCCCTAGGGCTGATGAAGCAGAGGGGAACGGGGTACCCGCCCCGGGCAACACTGCGGATGCTGGGGGTTCCAGTCACCCAGGTATCCTCCCCTCTCCTTTCTTCTTTCTTTTATTATACCGGTCCAAGTTCAAGTACTTATAGTTTCGCTTATTTTACAGACATGAACTTCAGAGCATTCAACATCCCCATGAAGAAGACCGGCGGCCCCTCCTCTGCCGCCCCTAGAACTGTACCGGTGCAACAGGAGCCGGTAGAGATCAACTCTGAGGAGGAAACTCCTCCGACCGGGAGGACCGGTCAGGCCGGGAAGACCACGGCAAACCCTCCTCTGGACAAGGGAAGGTCCGGACGAAGCACGCCGCCACCACTCATCCCTCGGCCAAGAGGAGGAGGGGAGAAAATGTCCCGGCCTCAGAGTCGCTAGAGGAGCTCTGGGTAAAGACGGGGCAGAAACTGAAGGAGGTAAAACTTCCGACCGGTACATTTTCTTGAATTCTGTTGCCTTTTTGTCGCAATAACCGGTGAGTTTCGTTTTGCAGATGGGCGAGGTTGGGCCCGAGACCTTGGAGAGGCTCGCCGAATATTCCCCTCCCCGGTCATCCCAGCTGGAGGAGAAGCTGAAAGGGGTCGAGGCCCATAACCGGGAGCTGCAGGACTTGATAGCCCGGCAGCTCGATGAAATGGCCAATCTTTCAGCAATTGCCGAGAGGGCCAAGGCAGAGACCCTCCAGCTGAAGGAGGAGAACCTGAAGCTGGCGGAGGACCTGGAGCTTAAGGAGCGAGAGTTCCCTGGCAAGGCCAAGCAATGGGTGGGGGAAAACATGGAGGAAACGGCCCAGGTGATTACTTCTACCCCGGAGGTGACGATGGAGGCCTTCAAGTTTATCTACCGGGAACCCAACGGGAAGGAAATGGTCACCCAGGTCGGGTCCTATGGTTTCATGTCCGGGCAGAAACGAGACCGGGAGGCTACCCACGCTATCCTGGCTGACCGGGACCCGGCCTTCTCTGCCGATGCTTATGGCCTGGCGCCCATCCCCGACGAAGAACCCGAGCCCCCTTTCCCCCTCGAGTAATCTTCCCGGCTGCGACCGGTTGAATTATTTTGTAAAACTTCAAACTCGTTCTCCCGGGAATGCCCGGTGTATCTGTAAACATTTGACATGCTTGTTCCGTTTGAATGC